TATATATATATATATATATATATATATACATACATACATACATACTTGCATCCATATATATATAGAGGAGCGATCAAATGCAAACCACTCAATTTGTACAAACTATGCAAACCACCTTTATCTGTTGATTTTATTGTTTAATCTTATGAAATTTTTAATGAAATTGTTTCATATAATACTTTTTTGACGAAGTTGTTTCATATATGGTTATTAATTTGTTTCATATAATACTTAATAAAATTTTAATGAAATTGTTTCATGTATTTCTCTAAAATTAAAATAATGAAGATGATAATATCCATGATTAATAACTTCCACAATAAAAATGATTAATCAACATTGCATAATTACAAAAAATGAACAAAATGAAAAATTATAATTGGTTGATTGAGGTTTGTATGGTTTGTACAAATAACGTGGTTTGCAAAGTAAACCTCCTCTCTCTCTCTCTGTATATATATATATATATATATATATATAGGGTATATTTCTTTTACAACCTTGTGTATTTGTACAACCCTTGCAACCCAATTAATTGAGATATTTATAGAAATGATGGGAGTTCATTTATTATGATTTGAATATTTATGGAATCTGAATAGAGTTCTTTAATTATGATTAATACTTTATATTAGGAAAAATAATACTTTATATTAATGAATAGAGTTCATTAATTATATATATATATATATATATATATATATATGTATGTATGTATGTAGGGGCACGTTCAAATGAATACCGTGCATTTCTAAGAAACCGTGTAAACCAAATTCGACCAATAGGAAAATTCCTTTTTTTCTAATTAAATTTAATCAATAAGGGTATTTCGGTCATTTACAATATTTTCTATTAAATATGAAAGTTATTAATAAATCTTAATTAAGAAAACATAATAAAAGAAATTATATAAATGGTAACATTTAAATATTTAATTATATTAAAATATTAAAAATTTGGATTTCATATATTGTCTTGATTTATAATCAGGAAATGTGTCTTGATAAAACAATTGAATTATAAAATGAAATCATCAAAACGTAGATGAACAAAAAAAAGAATCCACAAAATGAAACAGGTTTCATGAACGTGAAACCGGTTCATGTTGCAAAGAAATTAGGTGAACTGAAACATTTTTATGGTGAACTCGTTGCATTGATGGTGTAGTTAATCTTTTTTGTTATGAGAAACAAAATGAAACCGGTGCATTTTGAAAAAAATTATGAAAAGGAAAATGAAACAGGTTTCATGAACGTCAAACCGGTTCATGTTGCAAATAAATTAGGTGAACCAAAACATTTTTATGGTGAAACCGTTTCATTGATGGTGTAGTTGATCCATTTTGTTGATGAAAAGAAAAATGAAACCGGTGCATTTTGAAATTAAATTATGAAAAGAAAAATGAAACAAATTTCATGAACGTGAAACCGGGTCTTATTGCAAATAAATTATGTGAACCGAAACATTTTCATGGTGAAACCAATTTCATTCATATAATGTAATTCAAAATTTAAAACGATTCACTCCATATAATTGAATATGGTGTGTTATATTCATTTTTTTTATATGTTTTATTGATGGATGTGATTTAAAGTTAAAAATAATATATTGCTTTAAAAAATGAAAATAGTGTCAT